CATCTATTCTTGTTCTTATTTGCTGTTCATACATTTACTTTGGTAACAGGTCTGCTCATTTTTTTGTGTGTGCCATTTTCAACAGATTATTTGTCTTATTATTGAGCTGCAAGAGTTCTTTAAATATGTATGGGTAAAAATTCCTTATGAATTATGTTTTGCAAATATTTTCTTCCAGTCTGTGTTTTTAGAAATATTTCCTAAGTGTGTTTTTCAAAAATTAGATATTTATACTTTTTATGTATCAATTTTATCTTTTATGGTTCACGCTTATTTTGCCCCTTCAAATCTTTGCCTAACCCAAGGTATTAAGATTTTTTTCCTATGCTTTCTTTTATCATTTTAACTCCTGTGTTTAGGACCAAAATCCATGTAGAGCTGATTTTTGTATATGATTGTGCAATAGGATTGAAAAATTTGGATATGGGTCTAATTTTTCCAGCAGCATTTAATGGCAAGACCATCCTTTTCCTCCATTGAATTATCTTGGAAACTTTGTCAGAAATTAATTGGCCATTACGTATGTGTATCTGTTTCTTCACACTGTAATCCTTCTTTTCATTATATGTCCATCTTCATGTCAATAGCAAACTCTCTTCATTAAGGTAGTATTATAATAACTCTTAAAATCAGGTAGTGTAAGATCTCCACCTTTGCTCTTCATTTTAAAAATTGTTTTTGGTGATGTCAAGTCTTTTTAATTTTCATTAAAAAATTAAAATTAGTTTATTCATTAACAAAATTCTACTTTTTTTGATTTGCATTGACCGTATAGCTCAATTATGGGAACATTTACATCTTACCTATATTGACTCTTCCATTAAGACTGTTCCAGATCATCTTTAAGTTCTCTCTGCAATGTTTTAGAGGTTTCACGGTACAGATCATGTATGTATTTTGTGAAAGTTATTCTTAAGCATTTCATGTTTTTCTATGCTATCACATTAGTATTTTTAATGTAAATTTTCAATTGTTCACTGCTAGTGAATTGAAATATAACTGATTAACTTTTTATACTGAGACCTTCTTAAACTTACTCTCTAGTTCTAGTAGCATTTTAGGAGATTCCATAGAATTTGCTTCATTGATGATCATGTTCTCTGCAACTAAAAACAATTTCAATTTCCAGCCTGATTTTTCTTACCTTATTGCACGAGTTAGAACTTTTAGTCCAATGTGAGTAGTATAGCACAAGATAAGAGTGGGCATGCTTGTATTCTTCTTGCTTTTGGGAATCATTCACTCTTTAACCATTAAGCATGACGTTTGCTACAGGTTTTCATAAGTGTTCTTTATCCGATTGAGGAAGTTCCCTTCTATTCCTTCTTTTCCAATAGTTTTAATTATGAATGGATGTTAAATTTTATCACATGTTTTTTCAGGGACTTTCCCCCATGTCAGTCCCAACACTTAAACTGTTTTTGCATATTTGAGGCACCTCCATAAATACTTGTTGAATGAATGAAGCTGGGCTAAATACCTCTGAGAGTGCAAGGCCACACTTGAGCTACTCAGAAGCATGAGATGAGCTAGGAGACATGAGAGAATTTGAATGCCTATTGGTCTGGGGATACTAGATTTGCATAAATGATTATATGTGTAATTTTTATAACATTCCTATAAAGTAATTATCTCCATTTTAAAAAAGAGGAATGAGTAATAGATGGAATGATTAAAAAGCTATAATATGGTTGGGATGTGGGGAAGAAATCCCTGTGTTTCATAACTCAATAAAGAGACATCATGAGGTTCAGAAAACAAAATAATATGCAAACGAGGCTGGTTTCATATATAATGCAAGTTAAAATGGAGTGTGCTTTGTTCATTTGATGGAGCAAAAGAATCAAGAATCCAGTTGGTCTGGTTACGAGGAGTATTGTCATTGGAACAACTGTTGGACCAATAAGAAGGAAACGTAATGCTTGCAAAATACTTGGCTCAGCCCTCTATGGTATCTTCATAGTCAAAATAATGTAAATTTAAGCTACTCGTTTTGCAATCCTGAGGATTGGATTTATAGAGAAACCAAAAAATGATTTAATTTTTGTTCCATGTCAAAATGCAGATGTTTATCGACCTTTACAAAGCAAAAGTTGAGATAGATCTGAAGGAAGTTATAAAGTGGGAAAGAGCCCTGGCCGAATTGCTTAATTGATTAGAGCATCATCCCATACACCAAAAGGTTATGGGATTATTCCCAGTCACTGCACATACCTACATTGCAGGTTCCATCCCAGGTCAGGGCATGCATAGGAGGTAGCCAATTGATGTTTCTCTCTCCCCCCTCCCTTCCTCTCTCTTTAAAATCAATAAAAACATATCCTTGAGGATTTAAAAATACATATAAATAAAGTGGGGAAAGAAATGAGAACATTTTAGGGATGTTAGCATTCATATTTTCCAAAATGGGAACATTTAAACCCTTCTGAGCCTCAGTTCCTATCTGCAAAATGAGATACTAATAAAGTTGTTGTGAGGATTAATGACTGTATGTAAAATGCCTAATATATGATAGGTATTCAAATAGCTGTAGTAGTGATAGGAGCAAAGAGAGGCAGGCCTGTAGATAGAAGGAAAGAAACCCATTCCCACTAAGAGGGAGCAGAACCTCAACTTTAAGGTCTATAATCACCTCCCCTGCAGACACTGTCACCGCCCAGAGAGCAGGTTGGTGGACATTAGAGTGTGTGCCCATCCCATCTGAATGACATGACAACCCCGTGAGTGGTGTTATATTCCCCATTTTGCAGGTGAGAGAGTAAAATGTCTTTGTGGCCAACTGGTTTGCAAAGGACCAGCCCTGAAGTGGCTAAGCCATGGCTGACACCCAGCAACTGTGACTGGATTCTGTGGTCTGCCACTGAGCCAAGTGGCATAATGAATCTGAAACGCTGGGTGAGCTCCTGGCACATCCTCTGGCCACATTTCTAATGAATAGGCCCGTAGCTTTAATGAAAGGGGGAAAAGCTTATTTCCTTCAACAGCTGCAAATTATTTACATTGCATTTGTGGTGATGGCTAATAAAAGAGCAAAGGAGTGTGGGGACAGCCCAGGTGGCTGTCATTATTTTGGGTCCATAATGAAGCACTGGATTAAATACCAACAAGTGAGCATGGATGAGTATGCGGCCCCTTTCAGACCTGCCGATGACAGAGCTGCTGTCTGCCCTGGGAATGATTCAATCAGCAGAAATGGACATCAGGGGACAAGACTTGAGAATAGCCAGGCATAGGTCCCTGCCCCACTAAACTACCTCTGGGTTAGTTCATAATTGCTGTGGAATCAGTGGGAAGGAGCAAAAAGGTGGCTCGGATTAAGGGCACAGGAGCCATTGCAGTGAGGCTGTTCTCAAATCTAGAAGCTCTTGCTTTGCCATGTTTACTGAAAAAATATGTAATAAAACATGTATATATATTATAATGGGTGTGATATATTAGAATGTGTATAACATAATATGAGTGTGTGTGTGTGTGTGTGTGTGTGTGTGTATGTGTGTGTGCGCGTGCTTTTTGGATATGGAGTATGGAAGAGTTTTTGGTTTTTCTCACTATTAGTTATTAATACTGTGGTCATCTTGGAAGTCACACCTGTGGAAGTAGCATCTTCATTGCTTTATAATAATCACATCTACCTCTTGGGTTGTTGTGTGGAGCATTATGTGTGTGATGGCACTTTTAAACTGTGATGCAGGGGGTGAGGCTTGGCATCAGGATCCTATCCTTCGATGATTCTAGAGCTCCCTCTAACCTGTCATTTTGTGTCTAAAGCACCTGAGAATAGCAAGGCATAGGTCCCTGCCCCTGAGGTTACGTGGGGAATAAAAGGTCAAACCGAGGCACTCACAGTTGAGTAAACCAATGAATATTTTAGGAAGTTCACTCAGCATCCCAGTGTGGAGGGTGAATTAGGGTGGGGCAAGACTTCTTACTGGAAGACCAGTCATGGCTGCTATCTGGATAGGAGACAGTGGGGCCAGCACCAAATCAAGGCGATGGCATTGGCAGAAATGGAATATTCATCAGTTAAGATTCTCACACAGGAATAGTACACCACTAAGGGCACCGCAGACGAGGTAGCTGAGAAAAACGGAAATGCATTGTCTCGCAGTTCTAGGGGCCAGAAGCCTCCAATCAGGTTGTCAGCAGGGCCACACTGGCTCAGAATGCTCTCTCCTGGCTGCTGGTGGTTTCTTGACTTGTGACAGCACAACTCCAGTCTTCCCATGGCGTTCTCCTTGTGCTCATGTCTTGTCTCTGTGTTGAAATTTTCCCTTTCTATAAGGACACCAGTCATTTTAGATTAGGACCTGCCCTAATGGCTTCATTGTAACTTGATTACCTCCATAAAGACCCTATTTCCAAATAAGTCATATTTCAAGGTACTGGAGGTTAGGACCCCAACCTATGTTTTGGGGGACACAATTCAACCAGTAAATGATCAGGAAATATTCAAATGTTTGTTATATCTTTACAGATAGGTTGGTACTTATATGTACATGTATGTATATGGGATGCAGTACCAGTTTCTAATTGTGGATCACATTAGGCTGATGTCAGAAATAAGCTTAGAAATCCTAGCACACAGCCATAATCTGCTAGTCTGTTGATTGATCATGGACTTAAACTCTGAAACATCTATTAATAGATGGCAGTTTTTGAGAATGAAAGCTTTTAATCCATTTTTGACAATATCTATACGGGGCATCCAGAAATAGAAATAATGGGGTTGTGGTAAGGTAAACGGCCCATGACCTTTTACAGCCACAACCCGTGTTTGCGTCTCGGTGCTGGCCTTACTTTCTGTGTGCCTGGAGTGGACTGTCGCGCCTCTCTCTTTAATTCTCTGGAGCCTCCTTGGCTATAAAATGAGATTTCACCTGCTCTATGGTGGTTGAATGAGAGCCTACGATTGGATAAATATACAATATTAATATTATTATTATGGGTTTGTTACTCAAATGACGATCTTAAATGTCAATCTTTTTTTTCCTCCCCCATAGTCAACAAGCACAAGCCATGGATTGAGACATCATATCATGGAGTCATTACTGAGAACAATGATACAGTCATTTTGGACCCACCGCTGGTAGCCCTGGACAAAGACGCACCAGTTCCTTTCGCAGGTAAGGTGATGGCTTAGCCTGGCTGGGCTTGGCTGGCTCTGGAGACGAGCTGGGAACCTCACAAGGCCCAGGATGCAGCTTTATAGCTGTTGTCACTATGCTGTGCGTCTTACAGGTCAGCCTGCGATTCCGAAGCTGCCTGCCTCTTCTGATTTCTGGTGCAGATTCTGTATCTCCGTACGGTTTTTGTCCTTGGTGTCACGCCCCACGCAAGATGCTTATTGATTCTGCTTCTGAGAGGTGGTATATTGCTGAAGTGGCCCCTGGACGTTAGAAAAGTTGGACTAGTACATTCCGTAGGGGAGTTGTCTCTAGAAAGATGACCTACAGACATAAGAAAGTGTATGACCACTGTCCCCACTACCCACATATCCTGGACAGGTGGAAACTTGTAGCTTGGTAGATTGGTAAGAGGAAAGGGGAGGAAAAAAGGCCAGGAAATACTTGCTCATGGTAGGACAGAGCCGAGCCTTTGAGCTTCAAAGTGGGTGTTGCGTGTGGAGGAGGAACCCAAAGGCATGCCATTTGACAGTGTGCAGCTTGTGGACAGAGAGCCTTCTCGTTGTTTTCAGGGCTACGTCTACTTCCTCTCTAACCTGCAAAGTCCAGGTCCCAGGTGGGGTGTGTGAAGAGTACGGCCATGTCTCCATAGATTTTTGGCAAAGAGAAGGGGATGGGTGATGGCAGGGGGCGGAGAGACTGAACAAAGTATTCCTGAAGATGCCTGCATCATGAGTAATATTGTTAACATTTTATAACTGTCAGGAGACAGACAGGAAATTTAATGAAGGTTTTCAAGATTTCTAGAAGATTGCTTTATGATAGATGGGTGCCCGGCTGAGGTTTTCACCATGATGAAGTCTATTTTTTCTGACAGTTTGTCTGCTACATTATGAGCTCCTTGGGCAGAAAAAAAAAAAAAATTGGTTCTTTTGCACTTTGAAGAGATAAGCTTTGTGAAGGGCCTTTTTTCCATTACAGAATATTATAAAGTGAGGAGCGAGCGGGTGGGTTAAATGGGGCAAATTCAGCCCGATGTGAAGATAAACCCGTAGGCATTCTTGCAGAGCATGGGGGAGATGCTCTGGGCTCTCGGAAGAGGCTTTATCTTGATTTTTATGTTGAATGATAACCACCGCGGCCACCTGACTGTGACTTCCATGGTGTGGGAGTTGGGACATTTCCATACATCCTCCCGCCATCCTCAGAGTCTCAGCTCAAGCAGATTCCACTGGGAAGTTTAAGTCCCACGCTGTCTTTTCCACAAATGACGAGGCGTCTCCCCCACCCCTTTGCCGGCCTGCGAATATTCCAACTCATCTCTTTCTTGGACATAACTAAACGGTATTGGGGTTAATCAGCAATTCTTAACAATCTCCGGAAATGAAATTTTAAAACAAACACTAGCAAAAACGTTTGGGTTATGAACATGTTGGGTTTGGCTTACACTGTGTGCTTAGTAATCAGACATAACCTTTAGCGATTGGGAGATTGAGCATAAAAAAAGGAGGATTCTAGTTTATGTTGATGAATCAGGTCAGAATGCAGAGCCCAGTTATGACTTCCCTCTCCAGTCACGCCATGTGCTCCTTGCTTCCCTCCGCCCCTGCTACCCCAGAGCCCATGTACAGAGCTCCTTCCACCCAGCAGGCCCTCTCAGTCCCCTTTCCATCCCATTGTGTGATCCCTGTTTAAAACATAGAGAAAACCAATGACACTTTAAATGGTGAGCAAATGGATGCTGTTTAGCCACATTAGCGTAGTGAGGCCAGCTCTTTAAGGGATGAGGGAGGTGTCTGATTGTTATGTCTGCCCTCGGTACGGCCCTGTTTCATCATTTAGTGACCTAGAAAATGAAAGTGTTTGAAAAACTGTTCTGCAGTCCAATGATAAGCTTTCTAATGTACAGACCAAAATGGGGGTGGGGGGGGTGGGGGTGGGAGTGGGGGTGGAAGGACCATTTCAAGCAAATCTGATCCTTGAAAGTGTAGATTTACAAAAGATCACTTACCTTCTTTGGAGGTAGGCCTCAGGGACAATTATCAATTTTACCTCAAGCGTCCCCAAAGGACTTCCTTAAATCATAAACCTACCAAATGCAATTAAACTTGAATTTGTATTCTAACCATCGTATGTGCCCATGGGTTTCCAGGCACATCTTGAAATGAAGGTTTACTTCTAAACCAAGCCCTGACTCGTTATTTTCATCTGAAGGCAATTTCTATACTATCCCTGATATTTGCTGCTGTATTAAAGAAATTCTTGCTTAATGCATCAAAATATAATCTTCCAAGCTCTTAAGAGCAAAAAAGAAAGATGCTTTTTAAAATGGTCAAAGCTATTTTTCTCCATGTTATTTATGATTAGCTCTAAGGCAGAACACAGGCACTAGCCATCCATCTATGCTGCAAGCATTTATTTTAAAACATTTATCTTAAAAAGAAAATACAGATTTATTTCAGATCCCTATCATTCTCATAAAATTGAAAAATTCATATCTGCCAGCTCCATCACTCCTTGAAGTCAACTGCAGCCTCTAGTCCCCCCTTATCAACTGCTCTTGTATTCTGTCCTGTTCCACCCCTTTCCCACTGGTCTGGATTTCCAATTTAGCCTGCGAGGTAAGCTAGAAGCTTTGAGGGCAATGGTTCCATTTGTATTATTTTTGTTTGTTTGTTTTTCTTGTGATTTCCACTTCTCCTTTAAAAAAATTTTAAAGAAAACTTTCTATGTAAAGTGTCATTTGTTTAAATAAAAAGCATGATTCCATTTTCCATATAAATGCAGGGCTTTAAAATAATTTTTATTGTATAGCTCCTGATTTTGACAATAATAAGTGTTTATTGTAGGAAATGTGAAAAATATAGCAAAGCACCAAGAAAAGTATGAAAAATGTCTTCTTATCCCCAGAGCCTCTGTTAACAGTTTAGTGTATTCCCTTCCACTGATTTTTCTACTTTGTTTTCTACCTTATAGTCAATATTATAACTTATTTTTCCCACTAAAAAAACGAAAATACACCATTTTATTAAATACTCTTATGCATCTGATTAAGTGGATAAATGCTTCCCTATTCAATTAATATTCTATAGTTTATTATTCTTTTCTCCAACTTTATTGAGATATAATCAACATATAACATTGTGTAAGTTTAAAGTATACAATGTATTGATTTGATAAGTATAGGTATTGTAAAATGATTAAACCATAGCCTTACCTAACACATCCAGCACCTCACATAATTATCACTATGTGTATGTGTTTGTGTGGTGAAAACATTTAAGATCTTCTCTCTTAAAAATTTTCAAGTATCAAACTCAGTGTTGTTAACTGTAGTAATCATGCTATGCATTAGATTCCCCAAACTTAGTCATCTTATAACTGAAAGTTTTTCCCCTTTGATCAACATCTCCCTATGTCCCCTACCCTCCTTGTCACCACTATTTTTCTCTTTGTGTCTGTGAGTTTGGCTTTTCAAAGCTGATTCCACTTATAAGTGGATCCACATATAAGTGACAACATGTATGTGATATAAATGATTCCACATAATAGTGATAACACATATAAGTGAGGCCGTATAAAAGAACTTACACATAAGTGACACCGTTCTGTATTTGTCTATCTCTGTGGCTTATTTCACTGAGCATAATACCTCAATGTGGTCCATCTATATTGTAGCAAATGGGAGGATTTTCTTCTTTCTCGTGCCTGAATAGAATTCCATTGCATTCACATACATGCCGTTATCCCTTCATCTGTTGGCGGGCACTTAGGCTGTTTTCATATATTGGCTCTTGGGAATAATGCTGCAGTGAACATGGGAGCATTGATATCTGTTTGCTATCCTGATTCTATATACCCAGAAGTGGGATTTCTGGATCCTATGGTAGTTCTATCTTTAATTTTTTTAGGAACCTCCATACCATTTTCTTTAGTGGCTGTACAGCTTACATTCCCATTAATGGTACACAGCAAGTGATTTAGTGACAATATAATGGAATCACCAATTACAGGAGCCTCACTGTCTTTATCGGCAAAATAATATAAGCTTTCCAGGGTTGCTGCTTTGATTAACTTTAAAGACCGTCTTTGATGCATGTTGTAGTGATTCGAGATGTAGAAGTTTAATAAAGTTTAGTTTTCTTTTCCAGATCCTTCTCTCTGCCTGTCTCATAGATAAGACATCTAACTCACAGGGAGACCCCGCCACTTGCTCAGTATCCCAGAGCAGGCTAGCTGTGCAGCTGCACCTCTCCACCTGCTCTGAGTCCCTCTTCCTATTATATCACCTTTTGTACCTGCCCCACCTGATTAGTAGAGGCACCAACTCTTAGTCCAAAAGACTTCCCTTGGACCTCGGTTAAGTCCGTTAGACCTGATTTAATTCTCAACCCAGTATCTGAGCCCAGTGGACATGACCTTCTAAAAGAATCAGATACAATAATAGATACAGAGGCAGAGCTGCCTCAAACAGATTGTCAAACTGCAGCAGGAAGGCTGGGGAGGGTTGCGGGGCAGGAGGTAGGGGGGTAAGAGATCAACTAAAGGACTTGTATGCATGCATAGAAGCATAACCAGTGGACATAAGACATTGGGGGGTAGGGGAGGCTAGGGGACTGTCTAGGGCGGGGGGATAAAATGGACACATATGTAATACCCTTTGTAATACTTTAAGCAATAAAAAAAAAAAAAAAGAATCAGATACAGAAAAATCCTTGAGTAATAATGAAAATTCTATCCACTGCATGGCAAAAAAAAAAAAAAAATGATAATGAAAGCAAATTGGGTACATTTTGAACTTATTAATTTCTACATGAGCCCCACGGAGGCTTGTTAGGAAACTGTGGAGACTTTAAAATTGGAAGGAAATTAGACTGCTGCTCAGAGAAAATAGAACTATCCATTTGTCCACATTGGGTCAGTCTGGACTTGTCTTTTGTAAGGAGAGTGCTTCAGAGAATGATCCACATCATTGGTTGGCTTCTCCGGCTGGGTGCCTC